AATTGTTGAAGTATTTATGCGGGTTCAAGAGCCCGAGTATTATGATAGGATTATGCTACTCAGTGGAGCAAAGTTCTCTGATATAGTCATTGTAGGTGAGACTATCAAAGACGGACTAAGAACCGGGAAGATTGTCTGTGTTTCTGCCTCGTCCGGATCCTTGGGGTTGTTGAAGAAGAAGAGAAAATACATGTCTTATATTTCTTCTGCTCAAGAAAATCCTCATCGTACCAAGGTCGTTCTTGACCTTCATAGAGTTCATACTCGGCTTGTTATGTACATGCTCATTATCAAACCCCTCCACCAAATTACCAAAATTCCCCTCCTCCTAATTACCAAAATACTCCCCCTCCTGTTTACCAAACCCCTCCTCCTGTTTACCAAACTCTCTCTCAAGTTTACCAAACTACATCTCCTAACTATCGAAATGTCACCCCTAATTGTGCAAACATTCAGGCAAACTACCAAACTCTTCCCCGAGTTTATCAACCCCCATCTCCATATTGAAAAAATACCCCTCCGAACTACCAAGCTCCACAACCAAATTATCAAACCAATTCATATCCAAGGTATCAATACCCCCGCCAAAACACCCCAAATTATTGTCAAATGCCTCCCCCTAAAAAAGGCAATTACGATCCTCCTCGTCCGAGATTTGAGAAGAAGCCCCCTAGAAATGTCACTCCGCTCATTGAAAGCTGAACAAAGCTATTTGAGTAATTGAGTGCAACAAGTTTTATTCATATAGTGGGGCCCAAGCCTGTTCATACCAGCTCTAGATTTTACAGACTTGATCAAAGATGTGTATATCATTCCAACAGTGTTGGGCATGATATTGAAGACTATATTAATTTGAAGGACAAGATCCAGGACTTAATCGACCAAAAAATGGTCACTCTTCCGACCACTGCACCAAATGTCAATAGTATTACTCTACCAACCAATGGAGGCGTCAATATCAACATGATAGAGACGAAGGAGGAGTGGTGCATGGCAAAGGATATTGTCTCGGTTGGGCCAAATGACCTCGAAGGAATTTGTGATTATGACACCTGCGAAGGGTCTTTCCTTGGTGCCAAGAGAAATTCCCACTTGAGAGAAGTTTGTTATAGAAGCGACAGTCACTTAAGGCATGACTAGATCCGGTAGCTGTTACATACCGAAATAATTGGCCCAAGGAGTGCAGAAAAATGATGAGTCTAAAAGGCAAATAACTGAGGCCGAGGTGGAAGAATTCTGGAGGAAAATGCAACCGAAGAATTATTCAATCGTGAAGCATCTCGAGAAAAAACTGGCTCAAATTTATGTGTGGGGCTTGTTGATGACCTCACAACTACATAGGCAAGCCCTCATGAAAGTTTTAGACGACACTTATGTACCTGTGGGTATAAATAGTGATATTCTGGCGGCAATGGTCTGCCAAGTAATTTGAGGGAACCACATCAATTTATGTGATGAAGAACTACCTTTTGAAGGTGCAATTCACAATAAAGCTCTCCATATCACTGTTAAGAGTTGATAAAAGATTGCAAATCGTGTCTTGATTGATGATGGGTCTAGTGTCAATATTTGCCTACTTTCGACTCTCAAGCAGCTAAACTTTTACTTGGGCAAGGTTCACCAGAATCAAGTCAATGTGAAAGCTTTCGATGGAGAGCAAAGAGACACGTTGGGTGCAGTGAACTTGGGGATTCTAATGGGTCTTATAGAATTTAGTGTGGAGTTTTAGGTGTTGTATGTCAGTACTAGTTACAATTTTCTTCTGGGAAGACCATGGATCCACATGACCGGGGTAGTGCCTTATACCCTCCACCAACTGATGAAATTTTTTTGGAATGACCAGGAATTGGTCATTCATGGTGAAGGGAGTCATTCCAATGGGTATGCGTCAATTGTTGATGAGGTCTCTCGAGGTTGTGATTTCTACACGGTGGAGCTGGTAAATTCCACTGGTGATTATTTAGCTCTGCAACCCCTATGCCTTATGTTTACAAGATAATAGTCACGGTCATTCTCCGAAGCTATTTTGGATTGGGGAAGCACTTTTAAGGAATTGTCAAGACTATTAAAATTCTTGCAGAAGGAGCAAAGTTTGGTTTGGGTTATGTCCCGACAGATGATGATGAAGTAGAGGTGATGAAGAAGAATATGTATCGAACGTTGGCAAGGCCAATACCTCATTTGTACTAGTCATTCCCAGTGTGGGAGTATGTCAATGACGGTGGTCTTGGGGAAGGAATCTGGGGCCTTTTAGAGGAAGTCAATGCAATCGTCGAGGAAGAGGTTGGGATATTAGGCAACCGTGATGCTGAACTAGAGGAACAATTGTCAAATTGGACCTCTACGCCACTTCAGATTCCCCTCTCATCTAGGTAGTAAAGAAATGTGTTTATGTTTATTTTGAAAATTGGTGGTAGTCTGGAAAAGGCCCGAGACCCACCATTTATGCAATTTTACTTCTTTGACTTGTTAAATTCCCTCGTAATGTTTAAGAAGGCGGAATGTCCCTTGGATATGGCCAAAGTTTGTGTCCATTTTAAGTTTAAATGAAAATCCTCTTTTATCAAAAAAAATTGTTATTTACCGACTTGGTTAGCCAACATTGTTCTAGTGGCCAAGAAAGACGAAAAGATTAGAATTTGTGTTGACTATAGAGATCTCAACAAAGCTAGTCCGAAAGATAATTTTCCATTGCCAAACATTCACATTCTCATTGATAACTACTCTAAACATGAGATGTAGTCATTTGTTGATTGTTACGTGGGTTATCACCAGATCCTGATGGATGAAGACGATGCAGAAATGACAACCTTCATTAAGCCTTGGGTGTATATCATTATCGGGAGATGCCTTTTGGTCTCACGAATGTCGAAGCTACTTATATGAGGGCTATGACAACTATATTTCATGATATGAATCACAAGGAGATCGAGGTGTATGTGGATGATGTCATAATAAAATCCAGCGAGAGTTCGGATCACTTGACCCACTGGAGGAAGTTCATTGATCTCTTGCGTCGATACAACTTGAAACTAGTCCCGCCAAATGTGCTTTTGGAGTGCCGAATGGCAAGTTGTTAGGATTTATACTCAGTAGAAGGGGTATTGAGCTTGACCCTTCAAAGATCAAAGCAATTCAAGAGTTACCTCATCCGAAGACCAAGAAAGAGGTGATGAGTTTCCTAGGAAGGTTGAACTGTGTCAGCCAGTTCAAAGCTCAATCCACCGTGGTATGTGAGCCCATCTTTAAGTTGTTGAAAAGAGATGCCCTGACCAAGTGGATCAGAGAATGTCAAACTACTTTTGATGCAATAAAGAATTATTTTTCCAATTCGCCGGTATATATGTTTGTCTCGGATAACGCATTTGGATGCGTGTTTTGTCAAGATGATGAAATTGGGAAGAAGGAGCGAGTTATCTACTACCTGAGCAAGAAATTCACTCCATATGAAGCCCGTTACACTCTTTTCGAGAGGACATGCTGTGCTTTTACCTGGATTGCTCAGAAGTTGAGACATTATTTGTCTTCATATTCCACATACCTCATTTCCAGAATAGACCCATTGAAGTATATTTTTCAGAAAGCGATGGCGACTGGGAATTTGGCTAAATGGCAAATGCTTCTGAGTGAGTTTGATATTGTGTACGTGACTCAAAAGGGGATAAAAGCACAAGTCTTAGCTGATCATCTCGCCGAGAATCCAGTTGATGAAGATTATGAACTGCTCAAAACTTACTTCCCTGATGAAGAAGTGACATTTTTGGGTGAAGACATTTATGAAGCATACCCATGTTGGAGAGTATTCTTTGACAGAGCGGCAAATCACCAATGAAAAAATATTGGAGCGGTCTTAGTGTTAGAATCTGGTCAACACTATCCTATGGCGGCTAAACTCTAGTTTGATTGCCAAAACAACATGCCGGAGTATGAAGCTTGCATCCTCGATTTGAAGATGGAAATCGACATGAACATTCACGAGTTGTTGGTAATTGGAGATTCAGATATGTTAATCCACCAGGTTCGAGGAGAATAAGATGTAAAGAACCCAAAGATCACACCGTATGTGCAGTAGATACAAAAGTTGTGCAAAAGATTCCGCAAGATTGAATTTAGACACACTCCCAGGATACAGAATGAGTTGGCTAATACTCTTGCCACTATTGCCTCAATGATCAAACATCCAGCTACAAGTTATATTGATCCCTTGGGTATAGAGGTAAAAGAGCAGCCTATCCATTGTTCACATGTAGAAGCGGAACCAGATGGTTTGCCTTAGTATTTTAACAAAAGAAGTATTTGGAGACTGGACTTATCCTAAGAATGCAAAGTTCAACCAGAAGAAATCAATATGCCGTATGGCTAACAATTTCTTTCCAAATGGTCAAGTCCTCTTAATATGCCGTATGGCTAACAATTTCTTTCCAAATGGTCAAATCCTTTATAAGAGGACTCCAGATTTAGGTCTTCTCAGATGCGTTGATGCTAGTGAAGTTGCAAAGCTTCTGCAACAAATATATGTCGGAGTTTGTGGTACTAATATGAACAGGCTCACCTTAGCAAGGAAGATCTGCCAAACCCGTTATTTTTGGATGACTATGGAGAATGATTGTTACAAGTTCATGCAAAAATGTGATAAATGTCAAGTACATGGAGATATGATTCGAGCGTCGCCTCACGAACTCAATGCCATGAGTTCAACTTGGCCGTTTGTAGCTTGGGGCATGGATGACATTGGTCCAATAGAGCTAGCCTCCTCCAATGGACATATATTCATCTTTGTTTTCATTGACAACTCTACCAAATGGGTGGAAGAAGCTTCGTATAAGTCGGTGACCAAGAAAGTTGTAGCTGATATCATCTATAGTAATTTGATATGTAGGTTTGGAGTGCTGACATCCATAACTACTGATAAGAGAACGAATCTCAACAGTCATTTGATGAGAGAAATATGTAAACAATTCAAGATTACTCACTGAAACTCAACTACTTATCGTCCCCAAATGAATGGAGCTGTAGAAGCCGCCAAGAAGAACATCAGGAAGATTTTGAGGAAAATGATTGACAACCACAGAGGTTGGCATGAGATGTTGCCATATGCTTTGTTAGGTTACAAAACGACTGTCAGAACGTCAATCAGAGCTACTTTATACTCGTTAGTATATGGAACAGAAGCAGTTATACCTGTCGAAGTTGAAATACCTTCATTAAGAATCATCCAGGAAGCTGAATTGAGTGATGTTGATTTGGTTTACAAGTAGATTTATCAGTTAACATTGATTGATGAGAAGACAATGGTTGTTGTTTGACATGGTCAACTTTATCGACAGAGAATGATTTGTGCTTTCAACAAAAAGGTACGAGCCAAAATATTTGAAATTGGTCAGTTCGTTCTCAAGCGCATTTTTTCTCATCGGGATGAGTACAAAGGGAAATTTGCACCAAATTGGCAAGGACCCTACTTAGTTCGCAAAGTGTTAGCTGGAGATGCCCAGGTCCTATTAGAGATGGATGGCACCAAATGGCCAGAACCGATCAACTTAGACGCTGTCAAAATATATTATGTGTGAAGTTTCAGTTGGAATCTCTGTTATTTCCTTGTATTTCCTTGTAATAGTTCTATTTTCTTCTAATTGCTTTCTTTAGAATTTTGTACCCGTGTAATGAACTACGTCTGACCTGGATTCTCAAGAATCAGATGCATAGGCGGCCTATGTAGGCCTCGGTCACCCCTTTAGCCCTTTTTAATGTTTCCTTTTGTATTTGAACTACGTTCGTCCTGAATTCTCATGAATGTCGGCCTTGGTCGGTTCCATTTTTAAATTTCCTATTTTTTTTAATCCTCGAGAGAAGGAACTACGTTTGACCTGATTCTTGCCTCAACAAGATAGGTAGGTGCAACAACAGCTTTGTGATATCTCCCGTTTGATTTCTATTTTTCTTTACAATGCAAACTGGACAAAAGTTTTGAGAGGAACTCAAAAATTCTCAAGAAGAAATCTCTCCAACAAGAAAAGGCTGAAGTTACGTTGAAAATTGCAACGGGAATATATAATTTTTGAGAAGATCTAAAAAATTTCACGATTCATTCATCGACGATTCCATATATGGTGAAACTATCAACTGGGACAGAAATTTTTGAGGATGACCTCATAAATTTCTACAAGGTTCATCGGAAGTTTAGAACAAATATTGAATAACTCCAGCGAGATCAGAAGTTAACTTCAGCATTCTTCGACATCTCAAGAGTCAGACCACCAGAACATAAAGAATCTTCAGAATCTTTCCAACAAGTTATCAGATAGACCTCGAAGCATCGACTCCAAAGGTGTTCGTTAAGCTTGATGTGACATGATACTTGGCATTGACCCTTTTACAAATATTACTTTTGAAAACTTCTTTTCCTAAGACTTTCTTTCGTGTTTCAATTGTTTTGTACATAAATGTTTTGTCTTATCTATCGAGAAGTGGGAGATTAGAGAAATTAACCAGAGATAGCCAGACAAGGAGCAGACAAATAAAGAGATCGACACATATCAGTTCAGTTTAAACTAACAATTTTTCTGTGAATGCTGGAAAAGTTTTTAGATTTTTATGCCAACAAATTGGGGATATGAGTACATTATTTCATTCAAATTCTTAGCAAGGTGAGGTACATAATAAACATACAACTATGTTCAGAGAGAGAATAAGTGAAAACCTCAAAGAACACAATATTATTATTTTCCAGTAACTAAAGATACCTGGAGAACGTTTATTTACATAATATTATCATATATGATAATATTCTTACCCTAAGGGTTATTTATATTATATTGTCGAATAAGACGATTCCGCCACCCATAAGATCACCTACATTGCTCGGTGAAGCATTATCTTCGTTCGAGACCGGGGAGGCACAATCTGTATCTTTATGCATCGCAGAAAGTCAACATTTGTTGTGGTTCTCAAAGGAGCAAAGTCTTATGCATCGCAGAGAAGTCATCATTTGCTGAAATTCTCAAGGTAGCATTATCTTCATACATTGCGAGAAGATTCATGCATCGCGAAAAGAGATTCATGCATCAGAGAAAAAGATCCATGCATCGCGATAAAAATATAGATGCATCGCGGGAAGAAGATTTATGCATCGCAAAAATAGATTCATGCATCGCAGAAAAATATCCATGCATCGCGGGAAAAGGATTCATGCATCGCTGGAAAGAGTCATGCATCGCAAGAAAGAGATTTTTGCATCACAGGAAAGATATTCCTGCATCGTGGGAAGATTTATGCATTGCAGAAAGAAGTCATGCATCACGGGAAAGAAATTCATGCATCTCGAGAAAGATATTCATGCATCTCGAGAAAGATCTTCATGCATCGCGAGAAAATCATCACCAGCCACATTTCTCAATGAAGCACTATCTTCATGCATCACAAGGAAAACCATCAACATAATATGCCAATCTATTTTATTACTTTGCTATTAAAGGAAGAGTATATTAAAGAATTTTATTGCAAATATAAGATACAAGCTTTATTTGGTTTACATCAAACTATAGGAAGATGGCGTCAAATGTTCTAGGAGAGAAATTGTCACGACTCTAGCCTACACCCCAGAAGTGACATGCCGTACTTGACCCTGAAGGGTCTCATACAAGCCTCATAGCATTCATGAACATAAGAGTATAGGAAAATAATGACGAATTTAAAACTTTTCTTTAACTACAATCGAAGTCATTTTTCATAAAGGCAAGCGAAAGTCTTTTCTATACTATGTCTCAAACCATCTATAAACATAAGACTTAAAACATTGGGACACAACCCAATAAAAAAGCTCTAAACATAAAGTATAAGACATAAAGGGAAGTAGTGGGTTTATCCTCGAAAGTATAAGGACTCACCAAAATCTTCAACTCCGAGCTCCTTAGAAACCCATCTTCCAAAATAGAACCTCAAGTCCAAACCCTACACTTTGTAGAAAATGGAAGAAATTTGGGTTAGCACAATTAAGTACTAAGTATGAAAGCCATGCAAAAACCATGTTTAAAACAGAAATTTTATTTGAAAGTCATGCTTTATGCCAATTTGAGAAAATTTCATGAACATAAGTCTTAGAGGCATAATATACAAACATAACTAACATACAAGTCATTTACTCACCTTAGAACATAATCAACCATATAAGAGATTTCATTATATTGAGCTTTCACCTCAAGAAAACCCAAGCTATACTAAGTACCACACCACCATCCACACTAAGTACCACATCAAGGCCACCAAAAGTGAACTTAACATTCATGCTTTCCATATTTACACTATACTCATACATAAGAGACATAAACATTTCATAAGTCATGACAAGGTAGTAACTCATAATACAATCCAAGTATAGAATGAATCATTACATCTAAGAATATAAGTCAACATTCTTCATTAGCTTCATTTAGAGAACTTTCATTCATTAGTCATTAAGACCTTGTAGAACTCACTATAGCCCTCTCAAAGCCTAATTGTGCAATGCATGGGTGGCATCCCATATTACCACCCACACTTCATAGAACCCCTCAAGTAACTAAAGTGCACATTTCACATGATGGTAATAAGAATTTAACTGACATAGACCATGAGAGCTAAGTCATGGAATCCGGTGTCATATGACCCCACACCGAAGAAAGGTGTTCTACTTGCCTAAGTTAGAACTAGTAACATTTTAGCTTAAGTGGATCCACTAGCTATCCTATGTGGGCACATAGTTATGGGAAAAGGAAAACGATCATTGAAACCCAGCCTAAACATGGGGAGAGATTCCATCTTTCCAAATCCTCTCGTTGCTTAGCCTACATTCCCATAGAGTAGTTTCATTCACATTAATATTATTCTACATAAGAGGGTGCCATTGACCTACCGACCCAAAGTACATTGATGGACACATGAAAGGGTGCCATAGGCCTACCGATGCAAGGTACATTACGAAAGCTCATTGACCTCTCATGAAACGGTGCCATAATCCTACCAATTCAAGTTTCATCATTTCACACATGAAAGGGCTACCAACATTAGGTCTACCGATTCAGGGTTTATCATCAACATTCATGGAAGGTGCCATAAGCCTACCGATCCCAAAGTTTATTAACACCATTTATGGAAGGGTGCCATAAGCCAACCGATCTGAAAGTTCATTATTAACATCCATTTATGGGTGACATTAGCCTACCGATCCAAAATACATCATTAGAATAGGTCATAGACTCATTATGCAAGGGATACCAACACTAGGTCTACCGATTCATGTTCATCATAACACAAGAAGAGGATGCCTAAGCCTACCAATTCAAGATATAACATTACAATATAGAAGCCCTTCACATTCTATCATCATCATTCATGAGTGTTAATTGAGAATGCTCTTCCAATCATAACACAATTACATTTTATACATGATCATAGTTCTTTCATTGAGATCACACACATATACTTCACATCATAATCATACATAATCATTCATGAAATTGCCTTCCAAGGCTAGACATCAATCACAACCCAAACATCTAACATACTACAATAAATACTAGAATTACATGATTCAATAACTAATTAAACATAAACATAAACAAATAAACATACTTCCATGATCAATCAATTCCTAATCACAAATCACAACTTAGGATTTTGGGGGAAACATGGGTTCATAGAAGAAATCATCTTAATTCACCATTTAAACATCAATTAAACCATGATTCATCACTTAAATGCTTTTTGAAAACGTTTGGAATTGAACTCATGCATAGATTAAAAACTAGGAATTTTGGGGAACTTTAGAGACTTGAAATCATATTTGAAATTGGCTCCTTGAAAGACACTAAGTCAAGGATGAAGACTACCATACCTATAATGGAAGAAATCCACACGAAATTGAATAAGAAAGTTGTCCTTGACCCCTATACTTGCCCTTGAACTTGCTCTTCCATGTAGTTTCTAGAGAGAGAACTTTTGGAGAGGTGGGTTTCTAATTTGAGTGTTTGGTAATAGTGATGTCTAAAAGGGAGTTTAATAATTTAAAAATCCTTAAAATACTTTAATAACTCAATATTAACCGTCCCCCAACTTAACTAAACTTAAAATGAATTTACCACTTTGCCCCAACTTTGGCCGAAACTAGAGAGCAACACAGGCAAGACCTACGCCCCTTGACCTAAGGACCATAGGTGGGGTGACGCCCCATTCTGCTGGTCCGTTGTTTGGGTCTGGAACTTGAAACTTGGGTCTTTGACCTATGCCCCATGACCTATGGGCCGTGGATGGACCTACGCCCAGTAGGTGCCATCCGTAGTTCACCAAAAGTTTGGCAGCTTTTTGATTTCTTGGGGTCTTGGGGGGTTAGGCTTTAGGGTCTTCCTCAAGGACCCCTAGGGTGGTCCTTGGGTAGTCGTACCTTGACGTTTAACCCCTCAACCTAAGCCCGGGACAACATTCTACCACATGGAACTCCATTATAGCTCAAACACACAATCGTTTGGCTCTAGTTTCACCTATTAGTTTTATGGGTCGTTATAGAAATTAAGTGTCAATATGGTAAAAGATTCTA